TAGAAGTTACGTATTGCTTCCTTCTGGAGAGAGAGAGAGAGAGAGAGAGAGAGAGAGAGAGAGAGAGAGAGAGAGAGAGAGAGAGAGAGAGAGTATGTAAATGAGGTGCAGCGTGCGTGCGTCTGTGTGCATGTGTTTAATTAAAGAACTCTCAGACGTCTCCCTGTTTCACTGTCCCCTTACCTACTGCCCAGGAAAACAACGTGACACTTCTGCCAATTAATGGGAATGGTCGGAGAGTAGGTAGCCCGGACATATTCCTTTTCAACGTATGAGAGGATATAATGGATCACCTGAAGATTAGACACCTCCACAGCCATCTTATTTCACCGTATGATTAGAGACCGACAGCTACAACGTAAGATTAGACACCCACAGCTTATTTCCACTAAGATTAGACACCCACAGCTTATTACTGACATAAGATTAGACACCCACAGCCAAACAAGATAACACCAGCTTAATCCTCACCATAAGACAACACCCAATGCTTTTTGGCAACTGTAAGTTAGGCAGGTTTAATTTAGGTAAGTAGTTTTGCTATGTTAGGTTAGGCTGGGTACAAGAAGTTAGAAGACGTATAGTTTAGGATAGAAATTTTGTTTAATTTTGGGTAAGTTAGATTAGGCTAGCTTAAGTTTTACATTAAGTTAGCGTAATCCAAACAGGAGATATAAGCTTGCATCTAACCTTCAAATAATCCTGTACAATTTTTCCGCTCTAGACGGTCAGTTGAGAATATAATTTCTGTCTCGTCTGTCTATCATTTGAGACACACAAAGCCAGTCCGCATTCTCACCCTCAACACAGACAGACGGTAAAGGTCAAGGCACTGGCAAAATTATTATTCAACTCAAGATTAAAGGAGCCATCCCAAACGTTACGATGGAAAGAGTCAGGTGGCTGCCAAAAGACCCGACCTTCACCCATCTGAGATTTGCGATTCCGTGACGAGAAATTCAATAGATGCAAGCTAAAAGAAAAGAGAAGAAAAAACCAATTATATTGGCAGGTTTACATAGTAAAAGATTGAATTATTTTTTGTATATAAATATAAACAGTTAAATGTGTGAAATCAAACTAATAAAATTAAAGCGGTGAACAAGATTAATGAAAAAACGAAGTACTATAATAAATAAAACGCATGAATAAAAAATAATACATTATACTAAATATATGAATAAGTATAACAATTAAAATAAAAAAAAAATAAAATGCAAAATATCATGACCTCATTGGAGAATTACTGGAAACAAAACAGATATTTCCCATCAGTGTGTGAGGACCTAGTGCTGTGCCCAGCAGCCAAAACCGATTCCATGAGCTGTCGAGTTAAAATGATAATGAATCCCTTTTTTCTCTTTTTCTTTGCAGTAAAAGAGAGACCCAGAAGGAACCAAGAGAAAATATACTAAACAGTTGGTGATGGAATAAGTGCTGAGGGAGGAGGGTCAACCAGAGAAATATCAGGATTAATGGACAAAAACGAACGATAAAAAGGTATTGAAACAAATAAAGCAGAGAGAAACGAGCTGGTGTGAAAAGAAATATTTTGGGATAGAGGGAAATATTTAGACGTGGGGAGGAGAGAGAGAGAGAGAGAGTTATTATTTTTTTATAATGAAGAGTCTAGGGGACCATTTTTTTTTTAAGTGGTAGAAATGATGAGAAAAAAAAACAAGTGTAGTACAGGTGTGGAGACTTTGGTGATGAAGAGGGTGGGGAGAGGGAGGAAGAAGACAAGCAGGAAGAGGGGAAGACAAGAAGGAGGAGGAGGAAGAGGAGGAGGAAGAACATCAGGTTGGGGAATAAAACTAGGAGGTTGGGACTTACCTTAACTTGAGGATGCAGTCGACGTCTCGGTTTGTTTTGAGGATGTGACCCGCCGTGAGGTTGTACTGTGCGGGGTGGAGGTTATTAGTGTTGTTACTTGGGTTCTTATTAGTTACCAGTGTGTTGTTACTAAATGTTGGTTTAATTGTTACTTGAGGTAGAAGTGATATTGGCATCTGGAAGTTACTAGAGGTTGTAATGTCGTTTGAGCTATGCCAATTTGTGAAGGCTGTGAAATAATGAGTGAGTGCTGGAGGCTGGAAGTGTTACTGAAGTCTGGAGTGCTACTTGAGGTAGTAGTGTTGAAGCTGAAGTGTTACTGAAGTCTGGAGTGTTACTTGAGGTGATAGTGGTGCTGGAGGCTGAAGTGTTAATGAAGTCTGGAGTGTTACTTGAGGTGGTAGTGGTGCTGGAGGCTGAAGTGTTACTAAAGTCTGCAGTGTTACTGAAGTGCGGAGCTGAAGTGTTACTGAAGTCTGGAGTGTTACTTGAGGTGGTAGTGGTGCTGGAGGCTGAAGTGTTACTGAAGTCTGGAGTGTTACTTGAGGTGGTAGTGGTGCTGGAGGCTGAAGTGTTACTGAAGTCTGGAGTGTTACTTCTTCTCTTATGAATGGCTGACTAATGTGGTTTTATTTTTGTAACTATTTTACTTATTCTATTTATTTTTCGTACATTTTATTCATTCATTTATTTTATTTCATCATATATAATTGCATAATATTTAACTTAATTTTATTTACCTGTTGTTGCGTATTCTATTTATTATTTCTGTCTGTGTTTACGTATTTGTTTTTCCTTTCAACTAATTTCGTTTCCCGCAGAACTTTAACCTTTCCTAATTTATTTATATACAGAATGTAAATAAATAAAAATAATAATAATATGCAAGCTATATAAAAAAAAATTTAAACAAATATAAAAATTGCATAAATGAGAAAAAAAAGAATTATATGTTTCACCCCCGGCGCTAGTGAGATCTCAGGGTGACGTTATGGCACAGGCAAGGGGAGGCCTCTGGCTGTCCTTCCCTCACCCTCAACACAACCCGGAGATAACTTCAGCTTGCCCCTGCTAAATTTACAACGGAGATGTTCCATGAAAATGCTAGTGAGGGGAATTTTATTTTTAACATTCTAAAGCGGAAATTTCTTGTGAGAAAAACCTGTCATTTGTCCTGGGGAAATGTTGGTCAGAAAATTATCACTCGGGAAATTTCAAACTATTAACGTCAGAATATTTGTACCTGTTACTGGGGAAAATATAATACAACAACCACTACTACTACAACTAATAAAAATAATAATAATAAATAAATAATAATAATAATAATAATAACCACGCCGCCCATACGGACGGGAGAGAGGGTCTTAACAGCCATGAACCTCTCTACCTACCTGGAGACTCGCCTATCAAAGAAGGTCATCACCACTGAGGGTTGCGCATGATCGACAAGTGTTCAAAAACTGCTGCTGCCTCCCTAATAGTTGACTTCCGTGTCTTCATCCCTCGAGGACCAAACCAAACTATTTCTTATGATAACCAGGACTTTATTACACCTGTGTGTGGTTGTGAAGATGTTGGAGCGGTACCAACTGTGTCTTCGTGGGATGCTTTAAATTCAGTCGTAGGATAATCACTGCGGAAAATATCATCCCGGAATAATAATGATGATGATGATGATGAAGATGATAACATTGTATAATAATAAGTTTAATATCGGATACATATTGAAACAGAATAAACTGGATTAACCAAAAAATTATTACAAAATAGATAGATGAATAATAATAAACAGGTTTGAAACAGGATATGGGAGTAAGACAGTTTCACCTTTTATCTGCTTAAAGAAATTTATTAATTGTTTTTTTCTCCCTGATGAATGAGTAAGTGAGTGGGTAGTTGAGGACGGAGGAACAGTGAGTAAAATGATTGAGTGAATGAAAGAGTGATTGAGGGAGTTGAGTACAGTGTGTGAAGTGACTGCGTTAGAGAGAGAGAGAGAGAGAGAGAGAGAGAGAGAGAGAGAGAGAGAGAGAGAGAGACTGAGACCCATGTGGTTGAATATTAAACACGTAATAAATTGAAGTACACACGGCAGGAGGAGAGGTGTAGGAGTGGGGAAGGGAAGAGAGGAGGAAAAGGTAATCTGAGGTAATGGAATGTCCAGGTGAGGGAGAGAGACACGAGATAGGAAAAATAATGATGGGTGTCTCGGCCATGGGGAGGGGAAAAAGGTGAATAAGTGTAGATGAGAGGAGAGAAAGAGGCAGGGAGAGAGATGAAAGAGGAGAAAAGAAGAGAGAGACAGAGGAGAGGGGGGTGGGGAGAAAGAGAGATATAGGGAGAGAGAGAGAGAGAGAGAGAGAGAGAGAGTCCAAAGTGGACACCTCTCGGAAGAACGTGGGAGGTGAGGAGAGGCAGGGGGTTGGAGGCAGGGGGGTGGAGGCAGGGGTGAGGTAAGGTGAGGAGAGGCAGGGGTAAGAGAGGCAGGGGTGAGGAGAGGCATGGGGGGTGGAGGTAAGGGGTGAGGGAGAGGCAGGGGTGAGGGAGAGACAGGGGTGAGGGAGAGGCAGGGGTAAGAAGAGGCAGGGTGGGAGAGGGAGGGGAGGGGAGAGGGGGGAGAGGGAGAGGCAGGGGGGGTAGAGGGGAAGGTGGAGGGAGAGGTGCAGGAGGAGAGGCAGGGGTGAGGGAGAGGCAGGGGGTGAGAAGAGGTAGGGGGTGGAGGTAAGGGTGGGAGAGGCAGGAGGTGGAGGTAAGGTGAGGGGAGAGGTGGGTAAGGGGTGAGGAGGAGGCAGGAGGGGATGGAATTAAGGGTGAGGGAGAGGCAGGAGGTGGAGGGGTGGAGAGAGGCAGGAGGGGGGAGTGTAAGGGTGAGGAGAGAGCAGGGGGGTGGAGGTAAGGTGAGGGAGAGGCAGGAGGGGGTGGGAATTAAGGTGAGGCAGAGGCAGGAGGGGGGGGGGAGAGAAGGGGGTGGAGGTAAGGGGTGAGGAGAGGCAGGAGGGGTGGGGGTAAGGGTGAGGAGAGGCAGGAGGGGGTGGAGGTAAGGGGTGAGGGAGAGGCAGGGAGGGGTGGGAGGTAAGGGGTGAGGGAGAGGCAGAGGGGTGGGAGGGCAAGAGGGAGAGGCAGGGAGGGGGTGGAGGTGGGGAGTGAGAGAGAGGCAGGAGGGGTGGAGGTGGAAAGGGGTGGAGGGAGAGGCAGGAGGGGGTGGGAGGGGTGGGGAGAGAGGCAGGAGGGGGGTGGGAGGTAAGGGTGAGGAGAGGCAGGAGGGGGTGGAGGTAAGGGTGAGGGAGAGGCAGGAGGGGTGGAGGTGGGGGTGAGGGAGAGGCAGGAGGGGGTGGAGGTGGAGAGGGAGAGGCAGGAGGGGTGGGGGGAGGCAGGAGAGGTGAGGGGGAGGGGGAGGGGGGGAGGGGTGGAGGTAAGCAGGAGGAGAGGCAGGAGGTGGAGGTAAGGGAGGAGAGGCAGGAGGGGGTGGAGGGGGGAGGAGAGAGGCAGGAGGGGGTGGAGGTGGGTGAGGAGAGGCAGGGAGGTGGAGGTAAGGGTGAGGAGAGGCAGGAGGGGGTGGAGTAAGGGTGAGGAGAGGCAGGAGGGGGAGGGTAAGGGTGAGGAGAGGCAGGAGGGGTGGAGGTAAGGGTGAGGAGAGGTAGGGGAGAGAAGTCTTGATATGAGGGTATACACTGCGTGAGGGAGCCATTATGTCACCTGCGAACGTGACTAAGACGTTAATTGAAACACCTAACGTTTACAACAACCATTATCCTGTTTACTCACAACCTAGACTTTTTATTTTCACTCAATGTATCTACACCTGTCTCCCTCACAGGTGTCTGAACATCTTAACCCAACCTACCCTATGCTAACCCTATGCCAACATACTAACCTATTCTTACATAACTAACCTAACCTAACTCCTTCGCCAACTCGAGCCTACAGCTGAAGTATCACCACATCATTTTTTCTTCATTATTTAGTCATTTCAGCGTCGATGTTTTATTCCAGCCTCCAGGGAGAACCTAACTTGTGCTGTTAAACTTATCTCACATCAGCTGATACTTATAACTTTCGTATTCTTAGATATTCTTACGTTTGTTTTCCTGTTTCTCTTCGAACTTGGGATAAGAGAATGTATATCTGGCTATATAAGTCGAGCTTTGGTTCAATTTCGACGCCATTTCTAGTCTGTGTTTTGTTATGAAGCCATGCCGGTATTATTAATAACCTATTTTGTTGAGTTATATCAGGTTCTGTGGTGATAGGATTAAATTACTGTATACTTTATTATCCCTTAACAGTTGGTGTCATTATACTAGATTATCCTAAACAGCTGGTGTCATTATACTTGATTAAAGTGAGCATCTGTTGCATTATACAATTGGCCACGAGTCATGAAAGAGCCAGGGAGAGGAGAGAATGTCCAGTTGTAGGTGTATTATACTCCTATGGCACAGTTGTAGGGGTGTATTATACTCCTATGGCCGGATGTGGGGAGTATTAATATCCTATGACCAGTTGTAGAGTGTATTATACTCCTATGGCCAGATGTAGGGAGTATTAATATCCTATGACCAGTTGTAGAGGTGTATTATACTCCCTATGACCAGTTGTGAGTATTATACCCCTGTAGCCAGATGTAGAGGTGTATTATACTCCTGTAGCCAGTTGTAGGGTATACTCCTGTAGCTAAAAGTTGTAGAGGTGTATTATACTCCATGACCAGTTGTAGAGGTGTATTATACCTATGACCAGATGTAGGGTATTATACCCTATGACCAGTTGTAGAGGTATTATACCCTATGACCAGATGTGGGAGGTTATACTCCTGTAGCCAGGCTAGAGGTGTATTATATTCCTGTAGCCAGTTGAGGGGGTGTATTATACCCTGTAGCTAGTTGTAGAGTGTTTATACTCTATGACCAGTTGTAGAGGTATTACACCTGAGCCAGATGTAGAGGTGTATTATACCCCTGTAGCCAGTTGCAGGGGATATACTCCTGTGCCAAAGGGGTGATTATACCCCTGTAGCCAGTTAGAGGTATTATACCCTGCAGCCAGTTGTAGAGGTGTATATACCTCTGTAGCCAGTTGTAGAGGCATTATACTCCTGTAGCCAGTTGTGGTGGCATATTCCTGTAGCAGGGTGTATTATACCTCTGTAGCCAGTTGTAGGGGTGTATTATACTCTGTAGCCAGTTGTAGGGTGTATTATACTCCTGTAGCCAGTTGTAGGGGTATTATACCTGTAGCCAGTTGTAGAGGTGTATTATACCGCAGCCAGTTGTAGGGGTGTATTATACCCTGTGAGCCAGCTAGGGGTGTATATACCCCTGCAGCCAGTTGTAGGGGTGTATTATACCCTGCAGCCAGTTGTAGGGGTGTATTATACCCGTAGCCAGATGTAGGTGTGCATTATACTCCTGTAGCCAGTTGGGGGTGTATTATACCCCAGCCAGATGTAGAGGTGTGACATACCCCAGCCAGTTGTAGAGGTGATATACCTGTAGCCAGTTGTAGGGGTGTATTATACCTGTACAGATGGGGTGTATTATACCTACCAGTTGTAGGTGTATTATACCCCAGCCAGTTGTAGGGGTGTATTATACCCTGTAGCCAGATGGAGGTAATATACTCCTGTAGCCAGGTAGAGTGTATTATACCCTGCAGCAGTTGTAGTGGTATTATACCATGGCCAGTTGTAGAGGTATTATACCTCTGTAGCCAGTTGTAGGGGTATTATACTCCTATGACCAGTTGTAGAGGTGTATACCCTGCAGTCAGCCAGAGGTGTATTATACCCTGTAGCAGTTGTAGTATTATACCCCTGTAGCCAGATGGAGGGGTGTATTATACCTGTAGCCAGTTGTGAGTGTATTATACTCCTGTAGATGTAGAGGTGTATTACTCCCTGTAGCCAGTTGTAGTGGTGTATTATACTCCCATGGCCAGTTGTAGAGGTGTATTATTCTAGCAGTTGTAGGGGATTATACCTCATGGCCAGTTGTAGAGGTGTATTATACCTGTAGCCAGAGAGGTGTATTATACCCTATGACCAGTTGTAGAGGTGTATTATACCCGCAGCCAGTTGTAGAGGAATATATACCTATGACCAGTTGTAGAGGTATTATACTCCTGTAGCCAGTTGTAGAGGTGTATATACCCCTATGACCAGTTGTAGAGGTGTATTATACTTGTAGCCAGTTGTAGGGTGTATTATATCCTATGACCAGTTGTAGATGTGTATTATACCCCTGTAGCCAGTTGTAGAGGTGTATTATACTCCCATGACCAGTTGTAGGTGTATTATACCCTGTAAGCAGTTGTAGAGGTGTCATACTCCTATGCCAGTTGTAGAGGTGTATTATACCCTGTAGCCAGTTGTAGGTGTATTATACTCCTCTGGCCATTGTAGAGGTATTTTACCCTGTAGCCAGTTGTAGAGGTATTATACTCCCATGGCTGTTGTAGAGGTGTATTATACTCTAGCCAGTTGTAGAGTGTATAATACCCTGTGACCAGTTGTAGAGGTATTATACTCCTGTAGCCAGTTGTAGAGGTATTATACTCCTAGACCAGTTGTGGGTGGTATTATACCCTGTAGCCAGTTGTAGAGGTGATTATACCCTGTAGCCAGTTGAGGTGTATTATACCCTGTAGCCAGTTGTAGTGGTGTATATACTCCCTTAGCCAGTTGTAGTGGTGTATTATACCCCTATGACCAGTTGTAGAGGTGGCTATACTCCCTGCAGCCAGTCAGGTATTATACCCTGTAGCCAGTTGTGGGTGTATTATACCTGTAGCCAGATGTAGAGGTGTGTATTATACCCTGCAGCAGTTGTAGGTGTATTATACCCCAGGCCAGATGTAGAGGTGTATTATACTCCTGTAGCCAGTTGTAGTGGTATTATACTCCTATGGCCAGTTGTAGAGGTGTATTATACTCCTGTAGCAGTTGTAGAGGTGATTATATCCTGTAGCCATCCACAGGTGTAAAACAACCTGTCATAAAACACACAAAACTGAATTCATTCATTTATCACGTATTCAAGCGTGAGGTACATATTTAGCACGCAACTCAACTGTAGTACATAAATATTATACATGATCCAACCACACATAACGCAAACGTAAATATGAAATGTACTTTTATGTGAATTTATATTAGGTAAGAAGTTATGTGAAGTGTGGGATGTAGTAATAATTGGCCATATTTGCGAACATATATGAATAGAGTGTGTGTGTGTGGTGGACTATTTGGTCTCTCTCTTCCTCACTCTCCCTCCCACCATTCCAAAGTGACTAATGGCTAGCCGGTCTAAACGGATCACCATTTTGCATGAATCTTAATTGATATTGACAATTAAACTGGTGAGGAGAAACACGAGGGTTGAGCCAGGTCAAGGTAGGTCACGAGGGGAAAAACATTGTTACTATAGTTACCGCCTGCTGGGTTTAGTTGATGTATTTGGGTTTATTATTATTATTTATTATTTATTATTATTTATTTATTTATTTATTTATCATTGTTGTGTTGTTTATATTTGGAGACAAATAATAACCATTCCCAAGATTAATTGTTATAACGTTGGTGTGTCTATTGTACGGTATTTCTTTCGCCTGCCTTATTCCCTTCTTCCTGTATTCTAACCCCAGCTTGAGACTCCCTAACCCCCAGACCCCCAGCTCAGACCCCAACCCCCCACATCTACAGCTTGACACCCGCCAACCCCTGCTAGGCTCATGAGGTGGTGGGTCGCCGTAAAATCGAGTTAGATGTAATGGGTGGCGCAACTGACCACGGTCTCTGCAAAACAAGGCCATTCACCACACTGGACGACTCTGGCCTTACCTGCGTATTTCTGGCTCTGTACACACACACACAATTTCATTATTATTATTTTAATATTATTATTATTAATGTTATTATTGTTATTAATATTATTATTCATGGCAGCATTTTATCACCAAAAATCTACACATTAGATATCCTTTTCGCGGTTTACAGTTATTGGATATTGGTAACTGTGTTCCGTGGCCTTATGGGTTCACCTATTGGTCTGGCCACCCACTGTCTGGTCAAATACAGACGTGGTCACTTACTGGTTTGGCTAACTACTTGTGTGATCACTTACTAATGTGGCCAACTAATGGTGTGTCCAACTACTGGTGTGGATACCTACTAGTATGGCCAACTACTGGTGTGACCAGTTTCTGGTGTGGCCAACTACGAGTGTGGCCAACTATGATTGTGGCCAACTACTAGTGTGGCCAACTACTAATGTGGTCAACTACTAATGTGGTCAACTAATGGTGTGTCCAACTACTGGTGTAGATACCTCTGGTGTAGCCAACTACTGGTGTGGCTACCTCCTGGTCATATTAACATCAGCACCGGGGTTATGGTGGTCATTGGCTCACCTATCGGGTTAAGAGAACTCAACTTACTGTAGAGTATCAGTGCAATGTCGACGCCATGTTTAGCTGTTTAGTTTAAAAGTTCTCTCACATCTTACCTTAATTGGGAAACTTGCTTATGAACTATTGACAATCTTGACCCCCTAAGTTTTCCCAAGAGTCGGTTGTTAATTCCTCCTTAACTACCTGAAGTATCAACCTATTTTAGTGTTGTGTTCAACTTGAGTTACGTAACAAACAATGCTGGTCTAAAATGACGCCATGACGTTACAAATTATATACTCTTGTTATTAACTAAGCAGAAAATGGCGCCAAATTGTTGCTGAGACTACTCGTAATATATGCCTACTCTTAAATCCATCTACGGCAAGTGAAAACTTTAAACTTTTGAGTAATGAGAATTTTCGGTCACAGGAGGGTCTTCCCCTCACGGAAGCAGGAGTCAAGTTTGTTGTGTGTAATGTGAGAAGTTTTAAGAGGTCAGTAGAGGCCGGATAGTTTATTAATGACACAACACTTTGTGCTCAAGATTTGTTGCCCCGCCTGAGTTTTGTTATGGTTGTCGGGGCGACTGACCAGACCAGACCCAAACCAGACCAGGGATGGAAACGGTCGGCGGTTATGAGTCAGTGAGTCACTTGGGGTGAATTTATGCTGGATGACCTGAAAACGTGTCAAGAAAGAGTCAATTCTCAGATTGCAGATTACAAATTTCTGGTTGAAATTTTAAAAGTCATTTGCGTGTTAACAGTTTATTTCTAAGTGCTTATAAATATTCTCGGTCATTATAGGTCACCATAACACCATCTCTATCACTGGAATATAATTATCGGCAACACACACACAGTTGTCGTAAAGTGGACGGGCATAAAGTTATTGTTGGAGTGAGTCATGCAGCTGGTGGGGCCTATAAAGGGAGTTTTTGCAGCCGGTATCTGCTGGAATTAAAACAAAGCTTCAATATGATACTGTCCGTCGTCCAAATATGTATCCATCACTTTTTTCTGCACATTTCCCGGAAATTATTAGTGGGTGACCCTTCTAAGATAGAGAATCCACACGAGTCGTAGATACTGATGTAGCAGAGCACCCCGGTAATACCACTGGGCTACGGTGTATTGAGGTCTGTCTTTATCAACAAGTTACAATGTGTAAACAGGGGTGATAGTAAACCCCTTCATTGAAAGCTGAGGAATTTGTTTAAGGCAGTTAAGTCGGAACCAAGTGCAAATATCAGTGGTTTATCAGCTGGCGCAGTGATGGACTTAATTTTTAACAACTTCGTTGAGACTTTGAACAACAACAACAACACAGGTGAACTTGCCGACTTGGTGATAAAGTCATCTACATCGTCATTAAAAGTGGAACTCGAGATAATAAGACAGGGACAGGTGCTGATTAGCGAGCACTCTCGAAGGACCTTGCTGTTCCTGTACTGAGTGAGGCAGAGAGGTTCAGCAGCAGCAGCACTGAGGCACCCAGGGCAGTATGCACTCTGTTTCATACGACCAAAGTGCAGGGCCGACACCTGAAGCAGTGGAATAACTTAATATCACACTGGACTACTACAAACATTTCTAAATACAGTTTAGTTTATCTCAGGAATTGTCTTAACTATTTTATGGTAAAGGCGAATTGTTTTTGTACCGGTATTTCTGTATTAGAATCGAGATGACTAATTATATAAAAGACTAATTAACAAGATAGTTTTGGAACTTTACTAAATTATTCAGGCCGTCTGCTTGTTGGATGAACGAGTACTGAGTCAAGGCTGGTGACCCGTTTCCAGACCAGACCAGAATGGCTACGTGTGAAACCAAATCCACCCCACGTGAATGGCGGCCGATTATTTTGTTCAAAGACATAAATGTGTTTTCCCCGCTGTCCAGAAAAAAATACGAATTGGACACGAGTCAGTAGTCATTTCATGATAGTACCGTACCGTACCGTGAAGTGGAGTAACCCTAATAAGTACAGATGAAAATGACACTAAAAAATAGTCACAGATAAACACCATCTCCGCCTCTAACATCCAGCTGGTCCTGAGGTGGTTCATAAGCTCGATGCGCAGGAGTGCCACTTGTGCCAAACCACCAGAGGGCACTCGGTGCTTTTAAGAACGGTCGGACGATGACAGATGAATGATTTAATGAAATATTCATCCTCATGCATTACCCAGAATGTGTATGCAGACGGGCTGGCTATCATTTTAGGTTTATTCGGAAGAGATCAGGTTAGGTCAGGTTAGGTTAGGTGGGAGGTGGATAGGTGGGTGGGTCAGGTCAGGCCAGTCGAGTTAGGTTAGGGGGAGTCTGGATAGTATAGGTTGTATAACAGACGGATGGTAGCTCAGTCCACATGAGCCACTCTTAATGGTGAGTTCAAGGTGGAAGTTATAACTGAGGTAAGATGAGGTTTACTTTTCAATATTGCTGAGGATAAACCTATTTTTAGTGTGTGTTTGGTGTGTGTGTGTGTGTGTGTGTGTGTGTGTGTGTGTGTGTGTGTGTGTGTGTGTGTGTGTGTGTGTGTGTGTGTGTGTGTGTGTGTGTGTGTGTGTGTGTGTGTGTGTGTGTGTGTGTGTGTGTGTTCATTCCACCTCCACACCCCAGTACTGATCCGTCTCGCCCACCTCCAGCACGGTAAATTAAGCAAGATATACCCCAATGGTCAGATTTAGTTAAAGGTGAATGCCGCGACTCCAAGGAGAAGCCACAAGTTGGGTTAAACCATACGAATGATGAGGTTGGTTTCCAGAGCTTGTGAATCTAATTCTTCTCTCTAATTTAATGTAATGCAAATATATGTGGAATTCACTTAACTCGGTCATCAGAACTCAGAAACACAAGGACTTAACGGCAAAATGGCATCATTATGGCACTCAGACTATGGTGTTAGAATGCGTGTCTTATGTCCATTTATGAGGATTATACTGAACGTGGAGAATGTAACAATTCGATGTATCTTGGATGACTTGACAGTAGAGCTTCGTTTAATAGTTGAGGAGTTCGTTTTTTATCGATATGGTTCTCGTAAATTCCAACCTAACCATATGTCCATATATTTTAGGCGTACCATCATCGTGTAACCAACGTAAAGTACAATGTATATATAAGTGCACCAATCACTATGGTAGAGTTAGTGGAACGACAGGCTGGACGGCAGGGGAGGGGGTGGGTTAAGGACGTCATTTCAAGAGAATACATCGAGAACGTCTCTGCTAACGTCGCGGTAAAACCCATTGTCTCGGCAGATGAGGATTAAAAAGCTTCTCAAAGATAGAAAACTGTTGGTAGAGTAAAGAGCAAAGGATCTAGAACAGAGGAAACAATAAAACTAATTTTTGTCAAGGTTGGGATGTTGCCAGAGAGGATGGGTCGAGAAAGCAAAACATGGCCGGCTCTGATCATGTGAGGCTGCTGACGGCGAGACGGCTGACAGAGGGGGGGTGGCTGACGGCGGGACTGCTGACGGTGAGGAGCGGACGGAAGGGGTGAGACAACTGACGATGAGGTTAAGTGACTGGGGAGGTGGATCGCTGACGGCGAGGCTGCTGGGGGAAGGAGGTGGCTGACTTGGGGAAGGTCGGTGACGACGAGACACCATGGCCCACCTTAAACAGAGCAGCTACGACCCCTCCCCTATCTTTAGCTTTGGCATAATAGATGATTTCTGTTTCCTTCCCCATCCACTGACCCCTCCCACTCTCCTCTCCCTTTCCTCCTCACTTTTGCCCTTCCCCTGACTCCTCCATATCGCCTCTCTTTCTCCTCCTCCCTCCTCCTTCCTCCCACCCACTGACCCCTCCCATTTCGCCTCTTCTTCTTCCATTCAACCCTTCCCCCTTCTTCACCTCCCATCTTGCCTCTTCTTCTCCTCCCTTCCATCTCCCATTCTCCTCCCTCACCCCCTTCCTAGGACGTTCATAACTATACACACCCTCGACATCCAGAGCACAGATTCACCAACCATCTCTACTGTAGGTAACAAACAATACGATGCGTCACATTCAGTCTCCATACAACTTCGACGCCATTTTATCCACTGAGGTAGCTTGGTGAAATAGTTAGCCATGTTGTTATATTTAGAGTTTGGGGAAGGGGGGGTACAGAGAATCTTGAGAATAAAAAGTCCAGGGAATAAAAGAGGAAGTGATTATTTTTTGTTAGTGCTGTTGGTGCTCAAGACTCTCTAAGGAGGAGGAGGAAGTGGAGGAAGAGGATCAAGTTGTTCACGTCCGGTATGAAGGTGGGTGTGTGTGTGTGTGTGTGTGTGTGTGTGTGTGTGTGTGTGTGTGTGTGTGTGTGTGTGTGTGTGTGTGTGTGTGTGTGTGTGTGTGTGTGATGCATGAGTTGTCTCCGTGTTTTATCATGCACACTGTTTTATGAGTTGTGCGTTGAATGATCCAAAGTGTTTGTGTGTGAGTCTGTATGATGTATGAGTTCATATTACATACACTGTTTGAGGTGAATACGTGTTGGATGTTCGTGTATGATATGTCTGTACGTGTGTGTGTGTGTGTTTAGCTGTTTTCGTCCTTTTTGTCTGTCTGTCTGTCTGGTGCCCAAACAGCTTTTGCTTTTCCCTGTCTGTATCTGTTTTACCAGTCTTTATGTCTCGAGTGTCCGTCTGCCTGTCATTCTATGTTTTCCTGGCAAAAATCACGTGAAATCTGTTCTAGGCATGAGTATTTTATATATTTTGCCTGGCACTTCACCTTTTGTAACTAGTCATGGTTTGCCAGCTACTACCTGTTAGTCATCTAAGAACATGACAATTGGTAATCGACCAGTTCATTGTAATGTAATCGTGTGGTGGTTACTTGTAGATAGTTTATTATTATTACTATCGTCACACTTGTAACTCTTGTAGTTTCAGGTGGAGTTACTTGTAATCTTTTGTTTGTAGTTTCCACAGTCCTAATGTTCACACAGACACTATATGACTTTCTTGTTTATTATAAAAATATATGGACACTAATACACTATGTTGTTATAATGACGAATTAACCGGAGGATAGGCAACTGTCCTTTACGGGAGACTATAGGAGGTGTAATTTACAGAGCTCCTTTAACACTTCTGTCGTTCTGAGGTACAGGAGCAGAGGTCCACTGAGGGCGGGGGCACGGTGATGACCTATGTAAATCAGAGGGTGCGAGGTGGTCATGGGTTGTCATCCAACACGTGAGCAATACGTAACCAACGAAGCATGAT